ACAGATGGAGAGGTGGTGACTTGTCACTGACACTCAGAAGAAACTGAGCAGGATTGTAAACCCAGGTATGAGTTGGAGAGGCAGCGCTGCCTAATGGTTATGAACTCTGTCCCTGGAATTAGGTAGAACTGAATTTGAATCCTGACTCTGCCAATTAACAGCTGTGTCACCATGGACCAGTCACTTTAATCGTTTTGAACCTCTGTTTTTTCATCTATAAAATCCGTATAATGATAGTATGAATTTTGCTGAATTGTCACAAGAGCAAAACAATGATTAAAACCCTCACCAACAACTTCTGAATTGTAGAGTTCCTTTGCACACTGCTTAGCCTGGAGCCCAGGAGGATTGGCAGCATTCCAGCCAGGATTTTTTCATTTGAAAGTGACAGAATCCCAAAAAACTTAAACAAAAAATAAAGTATGGGCTATTACAAATGAAAAGTGTAGGGATAGTGTGGATTTCAGGCCCAGCTGGATCCAGGAGCTCAAATCAGGACACCAATCCAATCTTTCCAGCTCTTGACTCCATTTTCCTCTGTGTTGGGTCCATCCTCAGGCAGGGTCTTGCTTCATGGGGGCAAGGTGGCTACCAGTAGCTTCAGGCACATTTCTTCTCTTCTCTACAATCCCAGTGAGTAGAGAATTTCTTTCTCAAGTGTTCAAGCAAAAGTCCTGACATTGACTCTGATTTGTCCCACCTGGCCCAGCCCACAATCTACCATTGTGGATGGAATCTATCGATTGGCCAGATCTCAGTCACAAGCCTATCTTGGAGTCCCTGACCCGCCTGACCCCATGGACAAAGTAGTGAGTGGGTCCTCAAAGAAGAACTAAAGTGCTGTGACCAGAAGGCAGCGAGTGGATGCTGGTGGGCAAAATAACCAGCATCTCCCAGAGTGGCCTCAAGGTTGCGGCTGATGGATTAATAAACGTAGCATCAAGTGGACACACAGTCCAACAGAGACAGGAGGAGGGCGCTGGCAGTACTGATTCCCAGCCCACTCCCGATTTCCCCAAGTCCTCCTTCCCCCAACACCCGACCAGGTGGATCACACCACAGCAGGATCAGACCACACCCCTGGATCTCCCAAGACAGCGCCAAAGATGCAGAGAGGCGCATCCTCCTGTGTCCACTGGCCCTTTCCCCCACTGCAGTAAAAGTCATCAGAAATCATCACTGATTTGGCTTTTTGAAGTTCTTCCGTACCTTCAATTTGCCAAAATATATTCTATGTGTCTTATTAACTTCCACAGATTCTTTCTAAAAGCTATTTTCAAGAATGAGATTTCCCCTGCCCAGCGCAAGGAACAGTTCTCTCTCTGGTGGTGTCCACTGTCCTCTGCCTTAGGAACTTTGCAATCAAAATGCCCTTCTCCTCTTCCTCCCTCCGTGTCATTCCTCCTCTCCTCTCCATCGTTCGCCTCCTCCTTGCCTGGTTTAATGCTATCCACCCTTTAAATCCATGCTTTCCAGACTTCAGTTAATGGCAAACCAGCTTTGTGATTTTGCCAAGTTTCCAAACCCGCTTTACAATGACTACTTCATATTTTAATTCAGGTTACTTTTTTTAAATTTAAAGAAATTAATTTAGAAAGGAATTTTATATCACTACCACACACGGAAAACCAGTATCACTTGCCATAAATAAAAGATAAATATAAAATTAAATGCAATGAAAACAAACAATGTTACAAAATCCTAAATAGAACAGCAACAACAAAAGAACAAACAACCCAATTCAAAAATGGGCAAAGACTTGAATAGACATTTCTCCAAAGAAGGTCTACAAATGGCCAATAAGCACAGGACAAGATGCTCAACATCACTAATCATTACGGAAATGCAAGTCAAAACTACAATGAGATACCACTTCACACCCATTAGGATGGCTACTATCAAAAATAACCCCAAAATAACAAGTTCTGGTGAGGATGTGGAGAAACTGGAACACTTGTCAACTGTTGGTGGGAATGTAAAATGGTGCAGCTGCTGTGGGAAATAGTATAGTGGTTCCTCAAAAAAATTAAAAATAGAATTACCATATGATCCAGCAATTCCATTTCTGGGTACATACCCAGAAGAACTGAAAGCAGGGTCTCAAAGAGATATTTCACACCCATGTTCATAGCAGCATTATTCACAATAGCTAAAATGTGGAAGCAACCCAAGTGTCCATTGACAGATGAATGGATAGGGAATACGTGGTATATACATACAATGGAGTATTATTCAGCCTTCAAAAGGAAGGACATTCTGACATATATTACAACATGGATGAATCTTGAGGACATTATGCTAAGTGAAATATGCCAGTCACAAAAAGACAAATACTATATTATTCCACTTATATGAGGTACTTAGAGTAGTCAAAATCATAGAGACAGATTCAAAGTAGAGTGGTGGGTGCCCGGGGCTGGGGGAGGGGAGAATGGGGAGTTAGTTTTAATAAGTATAGAGTTTCAGTTTTATAAGATGAAAAGAGTTATGGAGATGGATGGTGGTGATGGTTGCACAACAATGTACATATATTTAATACTACTGAACTGTACACTTAAAAATGGTCAAGATGGTAAATTTTATGTTATATGTATTTTAATGCAATGGAAAAAAATCCTAGCTAGATTCTGTGCTCTGCCCAAGCCCATGGCCTGCTCTCTTAGCACAGAGAGTGAGATTGCTAGAGATTTGGTCAAGACACACCCAGTTGAGGGTTCCCCTGGCACAGTCAGAGGCACTGAAGAAGAGCAGAAAAGGGAAAAATTTTCTCACCTGTGAGTGGGTGTTGCTGAATGTCATGGCGGGGACCACCTCAAATCATGGCGCTCAAGTCGCTGTCAGGACCAACTAAAATTCTGCCTCCTCTGACTATCCAGCTGACCATATTATCTTCTCCTCTCAACTCTGCATGGTGTCGTCTCGTCTCAGCACCTGTATCCTTGGTTCCCTATCTCTGGATGTCCTCCTCTCAACAGATTAGTAGACTCTGAGGGCAGGGCCGGCGCCATCCCGGACAGCCATTCTGCAGCTACGAGTGCCTGATGGGCTCATCCGGGTGTGCTGGTTTTAGTGCAGGCTGCGGAGGGCAGGAGGCCCAGTGAGTGGTCTCAGCAGCTCTAACATCTCCTGTGTCTGAACACTCCAGAAGACCACCTTGTACTCCTTTTCTCTTTTTAGCTAATTGGTATATTTTCTCTTTCTCCAGCCATCCCCCAATCCACGCATTTTTTATTTTGTAGGTGATGGATATTTTAATTCCAAGGAGAAAGATAATACTGAAGGGATCCAAATTCTAACCCAGCAGGAACAGAAGATAAACCTAGTCTTGGGTTTTTCTAATTTTCAAAGCATGGAGCACAAAAAATGAAGCGGAAGCCCCCTACAGAGCATTTGTCCTGCTTAGTGACAAACACCCCTGAAAGATAGTGTCTTGCACTCTCCACTCCTTGACTTGGACTCAAGGACTGGACAGGCTGGAAGAGGGATGGATGGGGGTGGATGGATTAAGCATCACCTGTGGGCTTGGGTACTTCTCTTGTTACCACGGTTCTGGAACAAATTACCCAAAATTGAGTAAATTACCCAAATTACTCAAAACCATTTATTATGCTCATGGGTTCTGTGGGTCAGAATTCAGAAGGGCAGGGGGAGACAGCTAGTCCTCAGATGGAAGTCTTGAAGGCGGGGAGCTCCAATCACCTCAAGGTGCATTCATTCACATCCCAGTGATTGGCGTCGGCTGTGGACCGAGAGGCCTCAGTTTCTCTCCACGTAGGTCTCTGCACGTGACCTCTCCACGTGGGTCCTTTGGACTTCCACAGCTAGCTGCTGTGCTCAGAGAACAAGTATCCTCAGAGGGAGTCAGGGGGAATTGCAGCACCTTTCATGACTTCACCTCAGAAGTCACTCCTGTCACTTCTGCTGTATTCGATGTTTTAGAAGCAGGGCATTCAGGCCAAGGGGGAGCGGGGTGGTTTTCCACTCCACCTTTTACAGGAGAGTGTTGGAAGATCTGTGGACACGTTTGAAGTCGACCACAAGTGCGCTGAGACACGAGGAGCAACTCCAGGGCCTCAGACCTGTTTCTCCTCCTCCGTGTGGCTGGTGACTTCCTGGCATGCCCCAGGTTCCCAGCAAAGACCAGCTCCAGTCCAATCCACGCTGAAGAGGGAGGCGGTGGTCACGAGGGAACTGCCTGATGCTATTTGGAGCGCTGTCTCTCTTTGTGTCCTTCCCTCTGTTCAGGGAACTCTGCTAACGGAGGGGCCGCAAGGGCTTCTTGGTGTCCTCAGAGCTCAGCAGTCCAGGGCCTAGTCCCTGGGAAGCATTCATTCATTCAGTCATCCACAAATCTTTCCTGAGGGCTTCCTATGCGCCCAGGCACCATTCTCAGTGCATTTGGTGTTGGTGAGAACAAAATAATCCGCGCTGCTCAGGGCAGCAGACAGGTCTCAGGTGAGCGGGGAGAGCCTCCCGCACCTTGGACTTGGAAGACTGTGAAGGAAACACAGGGGATGCTGGAAGCCCTCTGCCTTGGGAGAGGAACCTGCCTCTCACTGAAGCCACCCCCTGTGCAGGGAGCTGTGAGCAAGTCCCAGCACCCCAGGACCGCTAACTCTGCTTCTCGGTTGACTTTGCTCTGGGGCCACTGCCCACACCCCCTGGCTCTGAGCTCCTGGGAGAGGCAGGGAGACGCCGCCCGTGCCTGAGTCACGAGTGTAAAGTTCGCCCAGGGCCTTGGCAGCCAGGTCTTGTGCAAGGGTACGGTGTCATTAGGTGAACATTGAGAAATGTTGCTTTCCCTTAGACCCTGAGATGAAAGATAACAGCCTTTCTACAGCAGCCTTTATCTCTCCTATTGTTCTGGGGGTGGGAGCTGCAGGTCCTGGGGCAGCAGAGCGGCAGGGGTGGGGGTGGTGAGCCCGCGCGTGTGCGTGTGTGTGTGTGAGTGTGTGTGTGCGCGCGTGGCCTTCCGGCAGCTGTCCCGGCCCCCACCCCACTCCACCCCATCGCACCCGGCCCGGAGCGCCGCCCCCACCCCTCGCTGTGCTGGGTGCGCCGCGGGCCTCTGCGTTCCTGGCCGGCTCCCCCCGCGCCTAGAAGGCGACCCCCGTGCGCCCCGGGTTCAAAGGCCCAGCGCGGCAGCTCCAGCCCCTCCGGGGGGCGGGGAGGCGAGGGGGGTGGTGCGGGAGCCAGAAAAGCCCGAGCCCACAGCCGGCCAGCCCTGCGCAGAGATGGGCAGCGCGCTCTGAAGTTTGTGATCGTCGCAGCCAACTCCTGGCCGGAGCCCGGGACGCAGCGAGCCAGCGGCCGGCCTCGAACCCCCACAGCTGGAGGCGAGGCCCGCTTGTCCGGCCCGAGCGCCCTTTCGCGGCCACAGGCACCCATCCTCCTGGCCCGGTGCTGCCGCGCCTGATCGGGGTTCATGGAGCTGGGGCTGTGGTTCCTTTTTGGGCTCACAGTGGCCTCCACCGCAGGTAAGCGGGCGGAGCGGCGCGCCTCTCCTGGCGCGAGAACACACAAAAGGACCCTGGGATGGCGGGGCGCGGAGAAGGTGTGCATTGCGGGGAGCAGTCTCTTGCCTGGGTTCGCCACCCTTAGAGGCGCCTGGGGGAAGGCTGGGGGGCAGAAGCGGAGCGCACGGACTACCCCAGGGGCTCTGGAGGTTGCAGCCCACGCACAGGCTGGAGACCTGTGGCCCTGGGCCGACTTGGTCAATTCTTCATGAAGTTGGGAATTTTTCAAAAAGTTTGCAAACTATTCAGAAACTGTGCAAAATGATTGCAAAGTTTTCAGAAAGTGTGCAAAATGCTTGCAGGTTTTCAACGGGTGCAAATAGCTTGCAGACTTCGCAGAAAGTGAAAATAGCTTGCAAGCTTTTCGCCAAGTATGCATATAACTTGCAAACTTTTCAGAAACTGCACATAGCTTTGCAGACTTTTCAGAACGTTTGGCATAGCTTGGAGACTTTACAGACAGTGCAACCAGCTTGCAAACTTTGCAGCAAGTTTGGCTGCCCCCTCCCCCAGGTTTTTGGGCATGGCGGGTGTCGGGCGCCTGCGCACTCAAGAGCTCAGGGGCCCTCAATCTGCCTCCTGCAGGATTGGTGCCTCGCCCCCAGCCTGGGGATGCTGGCAGGAGCGGCGCACCCGGGGGTCCCCTAGCAGCCAGATCTGAGGGGGACAGCGAGGAGACTGTGGCCACGACGGCAGCGCAGGGTCCAAGTCCCAGAAGCCCCGGGCAGGAGCAGGGACCTGGTCGGTTTGGGGAGCAGGCGGTCCCGGGGGACCCTGTGCCCCGCCGAGCCAGGCGCTGCACTTGCTTCACCTACAAAGACAAGGAGTGTGTCTACTATTGCCACCTGGACATCATCTGGATCAACACCCCTGAGTGAGTCCTCCTGGGGGTGGGGCATGTGACCCAGAGGGCGGGGGCCCACGGGCCAGGCCACCTCTTCACGCTCCACAGGACCTCGTCCTGCCCCAGCACGGTCAGCCCAGAGCCTGCCCTGGCACAGCCTTCAGCTCTTGCTGGGGTCTCCTGCCAGCCTAGGTCCAGTCTGCAGGTCAGGGGTGTGACCCCCATCCCCTTTAAGGGCCTGGCCCAGGAGAAACCCAATCCCGGAGCTTCTGATCAGGTGGAAGGGGGAGCCTTCCCTCCCAGTGAGATGAGCTGCCAGAGGGATCAGATACGTGAGAAGTCCCTCTGAGCCTCTGTTGTGAGACAGAGGAAGCCCCGAAAGTTATCTCCTGCCCCAGGGGCTGAGTGGGCCTGTCCCCTGTCCTGACCCTGCCAGGCTCCAAGGAGTTTTAAATTCCTTGAAAGCAGCCTGCTCTCCAGGGAGCACAGGGGTGGGCTTGGCAGGGCCTGGTGGAACCTGCCCAGTCAGGGTGAAATTCCGTGGGCCCCAACCAGGCTCCTTTCCTCCCAGGAGTGGAGTGCCGACCCGTCCTACCACAGGCTGGCTGCCGTGGCCCACTGTGGTCCACTGCCACAGCCACAGGTGGCCTCTCCTTCTCCCCTCCAGTCCTTAAAAACTCTCTTCCTGTGGGACTGAGACAGTACCACCTGTTAGTCCTGGTGTCTGCCTTGCTGTGAAGTCAACCCTCTCCTGAGGCCGTGGGGAGAGTGCTCTGCCGTGGGGAGGAGCTGACGGCTTCCCCGTTCACGTCCTCAGCAGCAGGGAACCCCTTCTGCAGAAACAGTGTCCTGCAAACAGTAGGGGGTTTGGCCTTGCTCTGGTCACCAGCCTTCTGGGCTTTGCCTTTTGGATCTCTAAAGTCCGGACCGGGACCAGATGTCTCTACACTCCATTCCTTATGTGTTCTTGGCATCTCTTGGGACTCCTCCTTGCACCTTACTAGGGATTCTTATCGAGGAGCTGGTTGTGAACGGAAATCCTTGGCCTGGAAAGGTGACTTTGCCACTGTGTTTAGAGCCACCTTGAATCACGTCCCTCATGGCTTCCTTCATCCCCAAGCCCATTAACCTCTGAGCTCTCTGGGTCACAGCTTCGATGGGGCTCACTTATCCACCTTGTTTCATGGACACCTCGACAATGAAGTGCAAAGGAGGGTAAACCTGAGGGTCAGATGTCTTTCAAACCAGGTGACAACACTTCTAACTACACGTGGGCTAGATCTGGAAAGTCACCCCATTATGCCAGCATGGCAGACAGTCTGGCTTCAGCCAGCAGGCTGAGTGTTTGGGGCTCAGAAGGACCCGCACTCTTTTTAATGCTCTGTGATTGCCGTCTTGAAATCCTTAATAATTTATGAAGCAGGGGCTCCACATTCCCATTTTATCCTGGGCCCCACAAATTATGTAGCTGATGGTAGAATTTGCCTGCTGAGCTGTGTCTGATCAGACTCCTAGACATACCGTCAGCCCACAGTAGGGAGGCTGGCGGCCCTCCCTGTCCTCCTCCCACTGTCCTCCATGGGGAAGATGCAGTGGTGTCTTTGTGGGGGAGGCTCCTGGATGGGGCTGCCGTTGATCGCCTTCTCTTCTCCAACAGTGATTAGGGTCACCTTTTCTTACAGCCGCGTCACCCTAACACTTGCTCTTTCTGATTCTTACCCTCCTGGCATAGTGATCTGACCAAATTAGCTTCACAGAACCAAGACCCAGGGCAGTCAACAACGGGACTGAGTCTTGCCTTGGCTAGATCCTCAGCTGTGAATCTAGAAGGAGAAAGAGGAAAGCCAACCAAATTCAGGGCAGGGGGCCTTGGGGCAGAGAGACAGAGGGGAGGAAGGAGAGGATTTGGAGACCACCTCACTGCTCTGCCTGTTGCCCAGCCCTGAGCACTGGCCGAACGGAAGCGATTGCTTGAAATGCATCTGAGAGGCCCAGCCAACACCCCACAATCTGTCTGAAATCCTGTCTCATGATTTCAGTTGTGCTGAAGCCTGGCTCTTTGACTTGTTCCAGGCCAGCCAGCTCGCTCACGCTCCCTCACAGGGTGATTTACCTCTTCCCTGCCTCCCTGACCCTGATTCGTGTTAAACACTAGGAAAGAAGGATTAAAGATGGTGTTTGGGAGTCCCTTGAGCTATGTGGGAAACAAAAATGACAATAGCCAGACTTGAGCGTTTCAAAGTTAGACAAGAAAATAATTTTTGTAAGGAAGACTTTTCTGGATGGTCTTTCTCTTTCTTCCTGTCTTTCTTTCCTCCCTCTCTCCCTCCTTCTTTCCTTTCTTCCTTCGTTCCTAAAACTCTCTGTTGATATGTAGACAGACAGGCCCATTTGCGATCTTTGAGACATCTTGGGCAAGATAGCAATGCGAGGAAATGGGCTGCAGGGAGCGGGCCTTTGGAGAAATGGAAGAATGTGAACAATTACTGACCTGAGGTAAAGGGACGGTGGTGGTGGGTAATGAGGCCTTCTCCAGGTCCCGTCCGCCCTCTTCTGGCACAGCTCCATCCCTTGAGCTCTCTCCCCTAGCTGTCACCCTCTCTCCTTTGGCAGACCCACCTGGTCTCTAGAATCTTCTCCAGTGTGTGATTTGCGACCCATCCCTGCCGCCGGCTGCTCTGGGAACCTGGAGTCTTGATCCTTGTGCCTTAATCACGAGTCTTGAACTCGGGGTGATTTTCAGCTTTTGGTGTCTTTCCTCCTACTGCCTCTCCAGTCGCAATCCTGCTCTGTCTTGGAAGGACGTTTGCAAGGTTGCAGGCACTCTATGCATATGGTTGTTATACTACATTTAAGGACCTAAAAAGTTTCCTGCAGGAGTAACATAGGGAGTTCCCACGAGACCTGTTTTGTGTCTCATGTGGAAAGTGAACGTCTGGTTAAGGCTCAGGAGACCAGTTACTCCCTGAAGTATCTTCCAGGTATAAGATCTGAGGTTCTCTGGTTCTCCCACATTCTCCTGCCTGCTTAGTTCTTCTGGACCTGAGCTGCTCAGCCCTTTCTGCCAGCACCCAGCAGGTAGTAGACACTCAGTCGTGCTGGTTGACTTTTGGTTAAGTCCTGTCGCCTGGTGATTCTTCCTTGTCTTTGCTGTCACTGAGCTTCTAGTCTGCAATGCTTTCTCCCATGAATGAAGCTTCTTGTTCCAGGGTGCGGGATGCGCTCCAGAGGCCTGTACATCCTTGTGGACATGTGTGAGAGTGTGGATTTTTCCGGGGCTGTTGCCCATGACTTCCATCATATCCTCCAGAATGTCCATGGCCCCAAAGAGGAACCAAGTGTGTCTTTGCGCATCTGCACTTCTTGCCCGTGTGGAGGCGGCTGCGATCACAGCTAGTCCATGGGATGGTGGGATTTTTGTGACTTTCCTTGTCCATGTCGGGAAGCCCTCACTGTCCAACCCTCCCCCAAACGACCCCACCATTGCCAACAAAAACAAAAACAAAACTCCAAATCAGAGAAAAATGCATCCCATCTTATGGTCATGGAAAATTTGCCAAGAATATGATAACAAGGGGAGAGGTAGTGAACAGGTAGGCCATGTGTTTGTGTATTTGTACACTTGGAGTTGTTCTCCATGAGGACACTTGAAAAACAGAAGTATCCTACAATGTAGTGGGGGATTGTATTCATCAGGGTCTCCAGAGAGACAGAACCAATAGGATGTGTGTGTGTGTGTGTGTGTGTGTAGATATATATATCTATATAAATATACACACACACAAGAGGAGTTAATGTCGCAGTCTTGAGTCCAAGGGCATTCTGGAGGCAGAATTCCTTCCTCTTCAGGGCACCTCTGTCTTTTCTGTTAAGACCTTCAGTGGATTAGATGAGGCCCACTCACATTATGGTGGGTAGTCTGCTTTACTCAAAGTCTACTGATTTAAATGTTACTCACGTCTGAAATATACCTTCCCAGCAACATCTAGACTGGTATTTGGCCAAATATCTGGGTACCGTGGCCTAGCCAAGTGGACACATAGAATTAACCATCACAGGGCTATTGGTTCTAACTATACCCCACAGCAGGCCAGCCCCTCCATGCCTGCCACCGTACACCTGGCTGGAGAGTGAAGCCAGTCCATCAGATGGTTGATGGAGCTGCAGGACACCAGCAAGGAGCCCCACTGTGTTTCTCCCCACTTTGTTCCCTAGAATTAAGGGAACCTGCCATCTGTTAATTCCTCCAAGGACATAACAAGGGAGGCATTGTGATGCTGTGACGGTGACCGTGTTTTCCAAAGAAAAACCTGAGCCACATGGACTGATGAGTAGGAAGGTATTTATGAAAAGAGCAGTGCAGGATGTTCGAACTCATGAGTGTGGTGGAAAATCTGGGCTCTACAATCCCTGCTCGTGGGAAGACTCCAGACCCAGGAGCTCTGCCCTGAGTCCTGGCTCTGACTCACCACGTGGCTTGGGGGTGGAGCCGCCCTCTCTCTGCGCCCCCTCTGCAAGGTGCAGACAACAGTCTGACTCTAGGATAGCGGCCTAACAAGATAACCAAGTTGGCCACCCCGGCTGCTTGAAGCATGCCATGCTGACTCAATCCAGCAGGAATGACATTTGTTTTGGGTTCTTTTCCTCCCCAAAGAAGTAGAGTAAAAAATAAAAAAAATAATAATAATTAACAAAACATTTAAACTTGTATTTTGATGTGTTCTACTACAAAAAGGCAACAATTCAACAGATTCATTTTTGCCCTCTATGTTGTTCAAGAAAGGCATGTCAGCATGTCTCCAAGAAGGGACATTGCAAATTTTAGAACATCCTGGTGGAATGGATGGATCTGGTACCCCAGCCTCCTGCTAATGTGGAGCCAGCTGTCCTCCCTGTGATTTCAGGGACCCTGATAACAGTCACCCAACCGGTGAGCCAGGACTGGGAGTATTGTTGCTGGAGATGCAGCTGTTGAGGCAGAGGGACAGAGTCTTTCTGGCCTTTGTGATAATCTCGGTGATGCAGATGAT